AGTATTTTGTTCCGTAGCAGAATGTCTTACCCACATATTATGCGAGATATAATTGTAGCATTTTGTACAGTTTTGAACGAGCTATCGAAATGATATATAATTGAAAGTCAGCTTCCATGTACCGAACATCATATGAGGCAAACTTTCCTATTGAGTGTCCTCATTCCATATGGATGTATAAACAGTGTTATCCGTAGAAAATGTTAAATGGTAAATATTTTTTTTAATACATTCATATATCATTTGATAGACAATTGAAAGAGCTTTCATTTTATATATAACCTAAATTGAAAAGAGTTAAAAACGACAGAAAAGGTCTTTCATGACGAGAACATCTCATGACCTTAAATGAGACATATGATCACTAGTTTTGAGTCAGCTGAAATCCAACTCTAATAGACTAATTCTAACAACAATCGCCTCAAAAAATTAGAACTAGCTATTGGAGAAGCGAAAAATACAATTTGGGAAGGAAGCCAATTCCAATTGCATTGCTCAACGTTTCACCTCCTTTATTTGACGTCCAAAAAGTTATTCAGTTTCCTGAAAACTAATATAATACGTCATACGGCTCTAGTTGGTTATAATCAATGGAGTGGCGAGCTCTTCTTCAACAAGTGTAGCTAGTTTGTTTGTATAACTTGATGCTTCGAATTTATAAAATAAATACTTACGTATAAATGAAAGCGAGTGAAAATGAATGCTTTATTCTTGAGAACAAACTGTTTTTATAGATCGAAAAGTACGAGTATTATTTATGGCATAGAGGAAGCAGAAGAAAACAAATATGTATCATATCACCTTTTCGTGTATGATGAGAGAAAAGAGCTAGATATAAATACCAGTGTTAATAGACAAAATTGGAAAGAATATTCTTCCAAGAAGAGGTATCAATATAATGTCAAAAACAAATAGATAATAAAGGGCAGATGTAGGTATAGGTATTTGACTCATTTCCGAATCACATTCATACTCACATCCGTGCTTTTTATAATTTGCTTTTGACATTATATCGATACCTCCTTTTGAAGCAATATTCTATCCAATTTTGTGTACTGACGTCAGTTTTTATGCGGCACCTTTTTCTTTTCATATACAACAAAGGAAGTATGACACATTTTGGTTTTCTTCTAGTTCCTTTTTATCATAAATCATATCCTCGTTTTTCAATCGATAAAAGCAAGTCATTCTAAAGAGTAAAGCATTCATTTAAACTTGCTTTTAATTACACGTAAGTATTCACTTGATAACACTCAAATATGAAATTTCATGTGAATCAACTAGCTACACTTTTTGAAGAAGCATCCGCTATTCCATTGACTGTAACTATGTAACTAAAAGACTAGCATTTAACAGAGACAGCTAGTCGCAGTGTTTGCCCATTCTCTTGAATATTTTTATTTTTTTTATATAGCTACTTGTACTAAGTTATGAAGTTAGTGTGGGTAAGTGCAGCGAATGTTACTAGTTTATTTCTTCATGATTGGTCATCTGAATGCTTTTTTCATTCTACATTGAATAAAAGTTAAAGAATTCTTACTGATTCTGTTATTTCTTGTTAGTGTACTCAAAAAGTGAGTACACTGCTAAAATCGGTCAGTATGTCCGGCCGTCCGTCCGTCCGTCCGTTTACACAATAACTTTTGAAAGGAGAGTCAAATTGCGACGAAATTTTCTACATAGTTCAGTCTTTACAATATCTCGGTCGAGTTCGAAGATGAGAAGGATCCGTCAAGGAATGGCTAAGTTATCGAAAAAATTGTGATTTTTGATCAGACCATCCCTGAGGGGGGGGAGAGTACGGGGATTTTTCGAAAAAAAATTTTTTGCCCATAATTATTCCCAAAATACATAAATCGACTCAGTTTTTAACGCTGATTCTGAATTTGATATTAGTTTTGAACTGAATCATAGTTTTGTGTACTCAAAAAGTGAGTACACTATAGAATAGTCAGTGTGTCCGTCCGTCAGGTTGGCTGTTTACATGATAACTTTTGACAGCAGAGTCAGATTGCGATGAAACTTCCTACACACCTTAGTCTTGACAATATCGCGGTCGAGTTCGAAGATGAAAAGGACCGGCCGAGCCGTTCCTGAGTTATTGCAAAAATACCCATTTTTCCCTACAGCTTTCTGTGGAAAAATGGACCCATCGCGACTTTCGTAAAAGACTTTTCCTATCATAGTCAATTAAAACCCCAACTATTATATACCATTCGATAGAGAATTTCAAGAACTACAAAATGATATATAAAACATAAAGAAACAAGAAGGTTGACTTACCTAAGACAAGGATAATTAAAGAGAACTAGGTTATATTTTGGTCCACGATCTAATTGATCCACAAATAGAGCTTTATCTTCCGGTCACACTGATGATACTTCGAGGTTTTCAGATATGGAGAACTCGAATGTGTACTGCACTTCCATCGAAATATTATTAGTTGTGCAGTGACCAATAGAAATGAAGTTATAGGAAAAATGACTTTCTTAGGGTAAATCAAGGGAAAAAGTTCAAACTTGAGGTTATTTCGGTCCCATGTCCTATTGGTTTGGCAACGCGCAATAGAAATCAACATTTTAAATGGTAGATTTCACAGTATAATTTTGATACTCAGATAGTCTAGGATGATTGATTTGTATGATTCACTTTTTGAAGTACACATAACTCTCGGATTTAAATCCGAAGTTTCCGCATTTATTTTTCTTATTGAATAGATACGGAAGAAAATAGATCGACTTTATGTCACTAATAGAGCTTCTAGAAAAATTTATCGCATTATTCGGACGTTATGAGATGTCGAAATGTTGAGCAAAAATAGGATTCAATTGGTTTTTGGTCTATCATGTTGAGTAAGTCTCTAAAAATATGAATGATGGAGGTCTAGCATGTGGAAGAAAATGTTTCACCTCATGTACTTCTGTAAAGATGGATAAACGCCGCATGTCGATGGCTTCCTGCACATATCTCATGGTTGTTGGTGAAAATAGTAAACGAATTTATTAGGACCGATCATTGTTTCGGATATGATTTTCTCGACGATATTGTTAGTTTTTCTGTTTTTGCTAGTCTTTGCTACAAAAAACAGAATAATAGACACGACTCCTAAACAAAGAGTTGTAAGAATAAGTCGTTTTAATCTTTTTCTAACCTCCATACCCTTTATCGATTACGTACGAATGAAATTCATGTCCACAAGTTTCTTCATTAGAATAAAATATTTTTCATAATACAAGGAAAATGCAATAGTATCATGGTTTTTATTGTAAAAGACAAGGTTTATGCGAAAAGTAACTTAATGCGACAGTACTGATCACATTAGAATTTAATATTATCAATATTAAGGACGCACTATTGGCTATTAAGATAATCATTTGGTCGATTCTGATTCGTGTTTGTTGAAGACGAGTGTTTGCTGTTCCTCCTTGATAATTTATATCTAAAATTTTACATAACTTTTGTGGAAAATATGTATAGTAGTTGACATTTTAAATATTGTACCTTTACTAACGATATTTGTTTACATTTCCATAAGCGATGAATAGTTCCCTTCATCCAATAAGAAGTTGTATTAAAGAGAATATTGATTTTTATCTACCATGCACCATTGCATTGTACAATTGGTATCGTTATAAATCTCTCAATAGTTCGTCAAAGCTGAATGTTTATCATAATGATAGTTTTGGTTATATGTAATCTGTCATCTTCAGAATGTATGTGCTTTTAACTGCATGAGGCGGTGGTAGATGTATCACAAATGCTTTTTACTAGGCAAGCTATAAGCAACATGACGGTTCTCTTTTGTTGTGTAGAACAAAACTCTTAGTTGTCGTTGGACGAAAGTGGAAAAGAAAAAGAAAAAGAAATTATTAGCCTAAGCGCATGTATTCGATATCGAATCTAATTAGATATCACAAGATCCAACTAGTCAATCGAACCCACATGTATCCTGTATGATTTCATCGAAATTGCAGTGAAAAAATTGTTCATGAAACTTTAAATTTTGATTTCCTGCCGGATTTCATGGTTTCAATCGAATGCAACCAAATCTGATTCTTCGATTTCGGGAGCAATTTTATCATTCGAATTTGGACGAAATCATACAAAATGCTATCCGATTTTATCGTATTCCGATAGGATCCAATGAACTTCGATGTTTGATTTATTTACCTGGAAAAATACTCTGTATAGAGTCAAAACACGAAACTCACACAAATTTTCATGTCATACAAGCAATGGTGCATACAGTTGCTATAAACTTCTTATGAGACTAGAGTAGTTCAAACCAAATTGGCATCTGTCTGTTTATCTATTTCATACTTAATTCAGACATCTTCTGCATTTTCTTGTCTCTTCTTCTATTGTTACTGTGCATCTGTAATTCATTTTTTTATTTCATTTGCATTTCATTTTTTGTTCGTTATGGACTACTTGTGTTTAATGCTCAGATTCATCACACCACGGCAGACCATCGGAATAACAAGTACTCTCGTTTTGCATTTGTACTGGATCGCTTTGAGTCAACATCTCTTACTTACGAACTTTCTCTTATATGAACATGGCATACTGAGATATTGCCAGTTGTCATGTCGAAGTCATAGCACTAAGAGGATAGAACTTAATCATTAAGATATAGAAGCTCGAGTATCTGTAAGTGAAGTGTTTGTAAGAGGAGAGAACAAACCCATTCCTTGCAAAATGCAACTCATGCATTTTATACCTGCGCTTCACAAAATATCGAGTCACGCTTCGTTACCAATATACGACACTATTTCATCGTATTTTTGTACTATTCTAGGGATAATAATATGATTATTCTATTTTTTTACATATGTGGAGTGCTAATCGCCTTGGCTATTTTTGGCATCTATTGGACACTGATCCGTCCACAAAAGCGTATCTACGATGAGTTAAGAAGTCAAGGTATACCGGGCGAGCCGTTCATCCCTCTCATTGGTCAACTGGTCGACATAAATACTGCTAGAAATAACGACGCTTTAATGGCCTATCATATGAAACTCGTTCAGAAACATGGTCACATTTACATCAGTGGTTTCGGTCCTTGGACACGTATTGCTGTGATGGAGCCGGATATCATTGCTGATGTTCTTTCTCGTTCAAATAGTCAAGACTTTTTGCGAACAACGGACAATGGCGTAGGTCTCAAAACCTTGGTTGGAACGCGTAATCTAGTAATGACCAATGGATTAGATCATGACCGCGCGCGAAAGATGGTTAATCCAGCTTTTCATTTCGTCAAGCTTCCATCAATAGCATTGATTATGATCAATCAGACTGCTAAGGCCATTGACAAACTTCTTAAATTATCATCTGAAAACCAGTTTATTGATTTACAGAGAGAATTTCAAAAACTTACATTGGCAATCATAGCGTCGAGTACTTTGGGTAATGGTTTTGAAAATATGGATGACGTCAAAGAAACCATATCTGGAGGATTTGCTTTAGCGCTCGATGCAGTACAATATCGGGTACTGCATTTGATTGATCATATTCCTATTATTTCCCGATTACCCTTTTGGTACAAGTCTTATCTAGACAAAGGATGTCGAGACATTTCTGAATTCGTCGAACAGACCATTAGCGATCGTCGACATGGCCGATCGATTAGTCAATCTTCAGGTGCTGATCTTCTTGATCTTCTTCTTTCGGCTATTGATGATGACGGAAAGCCGTTCGATAATCAAGAGATCACTGATCTAGCTAAATCTTTTTTATTTTCTGGACATGAGACAACTGGTAATCTGATGACATGGACCATGTATGTGCTAATGACTAACAAAGATGTATGGCGTGCTTGCCAAGACGAAGTCGATAGAGTACTTCCCGACGGTATCGAACCTACATACGAACACCTAAGTATGCTCGTTGTCTGCGAGGCCGTTTTGCAAGAAACACTTCGCCTTTATCCAACAGCTCCTTTCTTCACACGTCAATGCATTCATGAGCATATCGTTAGTAGTAATAGTCATGGTCAGTTACGTATTCCTGTGGGAACAACTATTATACTAAACGCTTATGCACTTCATCGTCGTGATGACTTTTGGCCTCGACCACTCGAATTTGACTATACTCGATGGATGCGTGATCCAGTCAGTGGCCTAAGGCCAAAACTAGCTCATCCATTCTGTTATTTACCATTTGGGGCTGGACCACGTAATTGCATTGCTCAGAATTTCGCTTTACTCGAAGCCAAAATTATATTAGCCATGTTTGTACAACGATGTGACTTTGAAATGGAACCTGGCCAGAAAATAACGCCCGACATTCGCCTCACTATGCGATCCAAGTACGGATTACGAGCTCGAGTAAACAGACGGCAGTGACACAATTATACTAAAAGAATTCAAACATTTTTATATCTTACATATTTATGAGATAGATACCTGTGTTTTTTCACTTTTTTATTCCATTCCAAACGTACTACCATTTTTAAAATAACAGCAATGTCATATATCCAGGATTTTGGAGATGCCACCACATCTCCCGCGGGAGATGCTGTATCTCTTGCCAGAGATGCGGGTGTGGGTGAGGCGTCTCCCGCTGGAGACGCGGCATCTTCTGCGGGAGATGCGGTGGCATCTCCAAAATCTTGGATATGTGACACCATACCAACCAGCACAACCACCCAACTTTGTAAAACCGCATATAAGTCATCTTAACAAACAGCCACATCTTGGAGAGTTATGCACACAAACACCGAAAATCACCCACTTTGTAGGACTTCTAGAAAAAATAAACCGTTAACGAAGACCAAATAAATGTGGAAATCTCGGATTTAAATCCGAGAGTTATGTGTACTTCAAAAAGTGAATGAGACGAATGAGTCATCCTAGAATGTCTGGACGTAAAAATTATTCTGGCAAATCTTTTCTATAAATACTTGATTTCTATTGGCTACTGCTCAACAACTAGGATTTGGAAATGAATACAGCTCAGATTTGAACTCTTCGCCTTGACTTACCCTAAGAAAGTCGTTTTTTCTATAACTTGATTTCTATTGGTTACTATTCAACCAATGGAATTTCGAGGCAAGTCGAGTACAGATTCGAGTTCTCCGCCCCAGAAAACATCGAACTATCATCTCTGTAATTGGAAGATAGAGCTCTAATTGTGGAGGATGGGTGTGGGTGTGGGTGTTAACGTTGCTTTAACTTATATCAACAACCGCACCCACACCCATAGTCGAATCTGAAGTCAGTTACTCTGTCTGAGCTTTCATTAGTCAGAAAATGGACCAATCAGAAACCAGCTTTTTTCCCTCGACTGAAGGAACAGTGATATGAAATAAATAAAGCTTGACAGACTCATCGCGAACGCCGACAATATTTAATTGGCTGAACTGCCTGCCTGAAGAAACTTCATATATATTTGATATTACGGAGATTATCGAACCTATAATCACGCAAACGCGTCTGAATGCGTTACTATCCCAATGACTGTGAGGTCACAAAATCATTTTATTTCATATGATCCTCCCTTCAGTGGAGGGAAAAAAGCTCGTTTCTGATTGCTCCATTTTCTGACTAATGAAAGCTTAGACAGAAAAAATGACTTTGGATTCGGATTCCTGGATATCGATAACCTATTGCAAAGTTTTATTAAAAAGTCGAAAAGCCTTAAAATAAAAATGCTCATTTCTGATTGGTCCGTTTTCTGACCAATGGACGCTCAGATCGAAAAACTAACTTCAGATTCGGATTCTTCGACCCCAATTTACTTTCGTCAACCTTTATAAACAATCGTTATTTTCTTAAAAAACTCTTTCCTTCGTGAAAACAGGGTTGGACTGACAACCGTACTTCCTGTTATCTTGGTTAGACCGGTAACCTTACCTACGGTTATCGTCACCGTTGCATCCCTAACCTTTAGCTCCTCAAACCCTATACTATAGAGTTACCCTCAGGTCTTCAGGGCCTTTACTATAACGATAGACTCAGATCCTTAAGTGCTATACTGTAAGGAAACTCTTAGGTCCTCAAGGCCTATACTATAGGTTACAGTAAATGTCTTGTGAACCTTAGGGTATCCATATAGTACAGCTGTTGACGACCTAAGGGTACCTTTATGATATAGCACTTGAGGGCATAAGGGTATCCCTGTAGTGTATCACGTGAGGACTAAGGATTCCCTTATAGTATAGATCTTGAGGACCTAAGGGTACCTTTATAGTATGGGCCTTGAGAAGCTAAGGGTTCCCTTACAGTATAGCATTTGAGCATCTATGTGTACCCTTATGGTATAGCACTTGAGAACCTAATGGTATTTCTATACTATAGGCTGTGAGAATCTAGGGGTATCCCTATAGTATAGCTTTTGAGGACCTATGGTGTAACAATTCTTGAGTTTATTATTCAAAAGAATGTCCCCTCTTCCACCTCGTCCACTCTTTATATAGCGAGCGGGAGAGAGAAAGAGAAAATATCCCATAATAAGAAAAGAAAGAGAACAATCATTGAGCATAAACAAAGGAGAGCAGAAGCATACAATAGACTCAGTGATGTAACCCTTATATAACATATAAGGTTACATTGAACACGATGAGTGATAGATATTCTTATATAACGTATGAGGTAACGACTGATGTTATAATAATGTTAGAACAGTCTATAGAAACAATCAACCCAAACAACAGTGACATTATGTAATGATAATACATAACAAGCTCAACCAGGACTGTCACAGTTGGCAAATATTGATGTGGTAGATGTGTATGTATCACGTTCTTGTTTTGATGTTAGTAAAGTTATCGGTCTGGAACACGTGTGTCATTCGTTGCACTGCACAGTCTGACCGGTGTTGTATAAGTGCCTCGATTATAGTGCACTGTGATTGGATGATGAGTCATTTCGTATTAAGTGATATGAAAAAAAAAATAAAAAATTAAATGTTCGAGTTTGACAGCCCCTCCTTGCCAGTGAGAAGGTGAAATTCTGTCTCCCCGGCATGGACTGCTGAATCAAACTGACTCATTTTCACTTAATCATAAATGATAATTTTTTACTTTACTAATTATACTATCTAATACACATCTTTCCCTTTTGGGATGTGTGTTATTGAATTAAATCCCATCGTTCCATCAATTGAACGATAACATCCATTGTCACTTGTGTTGTTAATATTAATTTTTTTAACATGTTGGACAGTGAATGTTTTGCTTCCTGATCGTTTAATGATTTTAAATAGACCTTCATATCTTATATCAAATGTGTTTCGAATGTTTCTTGTTTTCACCAACGTTAAAGAATTGACTTTTAATACTGGATTTTGTCTGTACAAGTCGTAGTGATCCTTATATTGTTGTTGATTTTTCGTGATATTGTTCCGAGCTTCATTTACCAAGTTTCCAAAATATGTTCTAATTGTTTTACTGTGCTCTGGATCTTGTGTGAGCGAAGTAATTTCATTTTGTCGATTAACCCTTTGAGGACCGAATTTTTTTTTAATCGAAAACAACATTTTTTAATCTTTTTATTTTATTTTAATTCAAAATAGCTACTTAAAAGTTTTGTGATAATCAAAAAAACAATTTTTTTCATCTTTTACACAAAATGACAATTTGCAAGTAAAGCACTCGATGTTGGATCGAAAATTTGTTTCCTTAGTGCTGCAATAAGCACATCTTCTTCTTCTTTGTCCTTTCACAGGCAAATGCATTTCATTGACAAAATTAAGGACAGTTTTTGATGATGTTAATTTCGACTTGTCTTCGGAAGGAGGTCTTCCACGGCTTACTCGTTCACCACCGGAGCAGAGAGACTTTGCCACTGACACAATGTAGTTCAAGTATGTTAATTTATCTTGAGCTAGTTGATTATAACAAATGAATGAATTGAAAATAGATGCATTTAGAAAATAAATAAACATTCGCAGCCAGTTCCTTTTAGACTTGCGATCGAGATTGTAACACGATATTCTTTGACTGAGTCGATCAACTCCATGTGAAAACTGATTGTAATCTTTTACTGCTTTCGGACAGTTAATTGTAATATGTTGGCCATTTTTCAAACGACGGGAAATCGGAACAACTTCGTTGTCTTTATGATAATTTGAAGCTAAAAAAACCTGTTTAGTGTCCATCCATATAAATACAATGCTGTTCGATGTAATCATTGATTTGCAATCTCCTCGTTCCATTTTATTTTTCTCGGCAAAATTCGATGGAATACCTGCTCGATCCGATCTGATAGTTCCACAGGCTTTTATGTTTTGTAGCTTCAGCTTTTCTAATAGTCTGAGAGAAGTGAAAAAGTTATCGAAATATAAATATTTCCCTTGGAAATTATGACCAGAGATAAGATCGAAAACAACGCGTTCGCCCAAAGGTGTTTCTTTTCCACTGATTTTCTCTTTTCCTAAATAGATTTGAAAGTTGAATAAATAGCCAGTGATTGGATCACATAAACACCAAACTTTATAACCTCTTTTTATGGGTTTTAGAGGCAAATATTGCTTAAGGCTTGATCTTCCTTTGAACTTTATCATACTCTCGTCTATTGTTCCATAGCGACCAAAGCTATAATTGTTTTGAAAATTTCTTCGTAATATTTCAGTAAAATCTTTAACTTTATAAATTTTGCTGTGCTCTTTAGATCCTCTTTTTGGTTCTAATGAGTTATCAGTCAAATGTAAATTATAAAAAATTTGAAGAAAACGATTTCTTGACATGATCGAAGAAATAAATGTATTATGGAATACCATATCTTTACTCCAATAAAGTTTCATATTTGGCAAGTTATTAATACCCATTAGAATAATCAACCCGAGAAACGATTCAATCTCTTTTCTGCTCACATCCTTCCAGCTACTCGTTTTCTTCTGCTTGTTATTTCGTTCCTTTCCTTTTCCATAAATGTTTGTTTGATCAGTGATCAAGTTTAAAATTTCTTCAGTAAAAAAAAGTCCTAAAGACTGCAACTGGAGTTCTCTCTATGAGAGAGATTGAAGTAAAGCCGCCATCCGTGATATAAAGTTCATTGATTGAATCCAACTCCTCTGCATATCCATCCACATCTTGATCAGAAAGTTCAAGTTCATCTATATTATCGACCAGTTCATCATCATCAAAATCGAAATCACTCTCGCTAGTATCATCACTAGCATATGAATCATAAGACTCGTCGTCGAGTTCATTATTTCCATAGAATTCCATTTGATTAGTTTTTGTTGTAAAAACGATATAAAGAAATAAAGACTACAAGTTGGAAAGAGAAATAATATCCTTTGCAAATTCAAGAACAACGTAAATTCGTTAATGAAAACGAAAGTATATATATACATATATATATGCTTAACAAAGAATGAGAACATTCTCGAAAAATAAAAG